TGTGTGTGGAGTGTATTTGACAAATAGTTTTGCCTTTTATTATTATTATATAAAAACACTTATATTTATAAAAATATATTCATTTGTTTAGTTTGTTTAACAATAATATTTGCAGTAATAAACGAGAGAGAGAGAGAGAGAGAGAGAGACTTGTATAATACAATACACATAATAATATTCTGTAACATATTCAGCATCTATTGAATTGTATAGAATATTCTCAATATTAACAAAACAAAGCTATTTAAGAAAATAACTATAATTTTATGGCACATTTTGTTTAAAAATTGATTATTATTTCTCAAAATGCTCTAATGTAACAATAGCAAGGACAGTCCACAATAGGATAGTGGGCGGATATTAACGGGTGTAAAACTTATAATACCATCTCAAACTTTTCATATCATAAGATTGATTGAGTGGACCATAAAAATAACAAAAACATTGAGAATATATTACGGAATAATTCTTATGGATTTACGTAAGAATTTATATGTATTTGTTTAGTACACATACACTCGCATATACTCAGAGCACTTCACTCTATGGGAATACATTAATAAATACATACAATATTAGTATTAATGTATATTAATGTATAAGTATAAGAGGGTTTCGTAATCCATACGAGACTGTAATAGATTTTTGTGTTTTTCTCGGTATTTGACATTTGCATTGACTTTAATCCACATAACATGGGGTGAAGTGGTGGTAATATATTAGGCAAACAGTGACCGCACAATATTATATTTATTTTATTTGCTCGACGATACATAAACATTCATAGATTTGTTTGCCATAGTCTGAAAGCACTGGTATGCTAATATTAACATGAAACGTTATTCTAAGTTCATTCGCAAATATGATATTAATTTTGACATAACCTAACTTGAACCCGCGTAAAATATTGAATTAGTAAAGTGCCCTATTTATATGTTGTATTTGGCTACTTATAAGAATATTATTATGGGAAAATATTTTTAAAATATAATATAAAATACTAAAAATAAAAACTAAATCTTAAACTAGCCAGATGTGTTTTTACATAACAGTGTCTTGTGACTGGATTTTTGCCCATAATTTTGCATTTATTGATATTTTATATATCAACTCATTCTTACTCTATTATATATACAGAATTTTGTGTGTTGTGGAGAATATTCTGTTATTTCATGAATTTAGAAAAGGCATTAAATTTAGATTTAGTTGGTAGTGCAGACTATTGAAATATTAAACCACCATTACTAAAAAGCATTAATCAAACACATTTATAGTAGTGATAAAAAGCAGTGTTTGTAATTTGTTTAAAACACAACTTTCTATTATATATTATTTAGTATGTGAAAAATATCGACATTTTCTATAAATAATAAATTCAGATAAAATATTAATAGAAATAATCGCTAAAACAAATCACATTTGTCATATTTTTCTCATGCATGCTATGTTACTATGTTAGTGGCGTAAGTAAACAATACTCCAAATATCTAAATAGCGTTACATGTGTTGTGAATAATATTGTCATAAATTATATTACATTTATTTATTTTTGTTTGTATTCTTAGCTCGCGATTCCCATTGTGTTTTATATCCCTGTCCCCGACTATCTATGCTAATGTAGCTACGTTAGCAACTATTAATATTAGACCTTTTTATTATTTTTATGTGTTTGTCACGTATGAGATGCTATGTCTTAAGAATATTCTGAAAACTTTATAATCCGTGAAAAATAAATGATATATTAAGGCAAATATAATTAAACACAGATTTAGCTGCTTGCTAAATTATATAGAATATTCTGGCTTTTATGTATGTCTTTCTATGTAAACTCCGATAAATATCTACCCCATTCAGCGCCAAGAATATTCCCAAGTATTGCTATTGTTATGTGAATAGAAAAAGGCGAACAGAATATTCCTTTCCACACATAGAATATATAGAATACACAGAATATTATCGTTTTTATGGCATTATATACGGTATAATGGTTTTGGTGATCAATCCTAAGGACAAATCGAGTGCTCGGAGCCGTATGTGTCGATGATATATGTATTTATCTAAACGTGTCTGGCTTACTTACTGAAGTCTGTGTGTATATAGATTGTCTACGGTATGCGTTAATATATTACTAGGATCAAAAGCACTCTAGATACGCAAAATTAAGCCTGGCGTGTGTCCAAGTGGCTAATGTTCAGGATAAATCTCTATAAAATATTGTAATATTTATTTGTGTGTATATGCTTTGTGTCCCGATAAAATATGGTGAAAGCCATACACGTGTGTATGTAAATCGCGTATCAATCATAAATACGCTATATATATACTTTTGTAATATATTTAGAAAATGTATTTATAAACTACACTTTAATAGCATGTGTATTGTATGGCTATAATTGGTATCACAATAAAAGTGAATAGTGTATCTATTGCCTATTGTACAATTATTGTAATTGTGTTAACTAAGTAAAATAGTGCTATTATTAGCAAAATCTATTGTATTGATTTATCTGTCACATAAAGATACTATCTTACCATTTGTTTTGCTATTAGTTCAGTGCTATTATTCATGCATTACTGTAACATATCATAAGAAAAGTTTTATCTCTTATTTCTCTTAATGTCTTAATTGTATTGATTTTTGTGATATATTCTAATGTAATACCAATTATTATGTAATAATAACTTAATATAATAACATGGTATTATTAAGTTGCATTAAATGTATTAGTTTTTATAAGTTAGTAAAAAGTTTTGCATTTGAATGTACAGAACATTACAGAATATACAATCATTGAAATAGTGATATAATAGATAGACCAGTAATAATATAATTTAAATAATACTACAATATAATATACATGTATTCTAATATAATTTGTTTTGAATATTTAATATGCTAATTATTTTAACGAATATCATAGTTTATTTTAATGTAGACTAATTAGATTTAAAGTAGAATTGTAATCATCTTATAAAAATAAAATGCTAACTATTTACAACACACAAGTAAAAGTACAAATATTTTATCAAGCAATTTCTAAAAATGTAACTACAATTGTCCATAATGTTGAAAATATTGGACTTACCATGACAATACGTCTACGTCGGGCATCATCATGCTGCTTTTTGCGTTCATCACTAGCCTTACCGGCTATACGTCCCTGTTTTGCCACAACGAAACCAATTTTGATATATAGGGTACATGTGATGCTCAGCGGTATTCTGTGTGTAAAACATTGGATACATTACTATCACGGTAAATAAAATGCTAACTTAATTTCATAACTTAAATTAAGTTTTGATTGAATGATTATTTTTAATATAATTACGCAGGCATACGTACAGTATCAAACCATATAACTGACGTGATATACAACTTTATTTCAATGTTTTTATTTTTATACTAGTATAACTTTAATGGTTTTAATTTATTTATAATTTATGTGATGTTAATTATTAAATAAAATTATTTGGTAATTTTTGCATTATACAATATGAACAAAACATATTAATACAGTATATTTATAAGTGCTCAAATTAAAGTCTCTCTCTCTCTCTCTCTCTCTCTCTCTCTCTCTCTTATTAGTATCACTCAATACACGAGAGTATTAATAATAGTTTGACTTTTATTTTTTAGCATTCAATATATTATATTATGAGTTAAAATAGCATATGAACAACAATTTTTGTGTTAACAAAATTTTTCCGCAAAAACTAATGTAATATAAATGTTATGTTATTATATAAATTGTGTTTAAAATATAATGGTAAAGATTTTTGTGTAATTCCGTGTCATATATTATACACAAAATTATGTTTTCTACTTAATATTATTGACTTTACATATACCACAAAAAACTATTTACTTATTCTTATACCTATATTATACTCTCACTGTTGTCATAAAATATATGAATTATAAATAGGTTTTAAAATTTATGCAAAATTTATGGTAAAAAGAAAATTTTTTATTTCAAAGAATTGTGTGAAACAAATATAAATAAAATATAAGGAATTCATACATTTAAAAACTTTTATATCTGAATTATACTCGCGCATAACTAAACCTTGCATACTAATCAAGGTAATGTAAAAAATTTAAATATTAAACAGATAAATTTAGTTTGGAAGTGTTTTTTGTTTTACGTTAATTATTTTTGTATTATATTTTGTAAACTAAAGAATTTCTTAAATTTTAATTTATTATAAATATTAAATTCTGTTTAGAATTTAATGAGTATAACAATACATACATGGTACCTGTATGTATTAATATAAGCAAATACTTTTGGATAAATTCATTTTATGAAAATAGAAAATTAATTAATTTATGCAACTTTCATACTAGAAAATATAAACATGCTATTGTGTAGAAATATTTTCATGTATTTATTATTTGTTGAATAATTTGAAAATGCTATCTAAACTAAACCATTTGGATATATAAAAAAAGGTTCATTAAATTTTGTGTGAAGTTTGTATTCTCTATTGAAAACAAAGGTCTCTATTGTTTAACATGCAAAATACTTACAAAAGTATATCTCAATAATAATAAGTCACTGTTTTATTATTAATATAAATACTGTTTTTCAAAATGAGTATATTTTATATTGTATAAAAATATATATAATTCATTGTCTATGAAATTCTTGCGAAAGAATATTATTCTGTAAATTATTTTCTCTTGAATATAATCAACGAATTCACACAAGAATTATAAGAATACATCAGAATATATATAAGAATATATTGTCTTAGAAATAGACGTTTTAATTAAATATTTATTAATTTTGTGTTGACTCTAATAACTAAACTTTTTTTATATACACTATTTTGTGAAATATTTATCAAGAGCAAACACAAATTTCAATCATAATAACAGTTATTTAATAATATATTCGCCAAAACAAAATCATAAAACTTTATATCAAATCTAATGCACAAAAAAACAATAAAAACTAATGAAATCTGTGATAAAAAAAACAAAACAAAAATCCAAACTAAAAGTAATACCTAAAGAATATTCTGTAATTGAATCAAAAAATACTCACAAATATTGTGTAAAAAACGCTTCGATGGACAACCAAAACGCGAAATCCACGCCCAGCTTGGGGTACACCACTCGGCACCTGTCGTACGTAACGTTTTTATAGACGGTCGGCACAATCCTATTGAAGGTGGAGTGGGGTAGGGCTAGTACGCCAGCTATGACCCACACCACCACTATAATCACCGCCAGTTTCACCGTCGACATGGACTTGGACGCCATGCTAGTCGTGCCGATAATAGTCCAGAATCGGTGTATGGCTATGACCCCCATGGTCAGGGTGCTCACGTACACGCAGCATACCTGGATGAATGGCACCAGTATGCACAGTACTCTACCGAACGGGTAGTTGAACGTTAGGAACCGGGTCACGTTAAACGGTATGTTCAGGGTAGTGGTGAGAAAGTCAGCCAGGGCCAGGGACGCTATTAGCAAGTTGGTGGTGGTGCGCATTTTTCGCTTGCCAAATATGACCCGGAGCACCAGTAGGTTTCCACAAAACGACACACAGATAATAATGGTGTAGAATATGATGACAATGAGATTCCGAAGGGTGTAGTCGTCCTCATCATCATCGTTGGCACTGGTGTTGCCGTTAGAGCGACCGGTGTTGTCATTAGAGTAGGACATGTAGTTCGTGTAGTTATATATGTCGGGGCCGGTGCTGTTGATACCGGCGCTGCTGAGGGTCTGGGAGGCTCCCGACGATTGGTTTGATAGGAAATCGATGGTTAAACTCACGATTGGGTTCGCGTCGTAAGACATGTTTAAAAGTTTTTTTCGTATTAAGTAGTGTTTTTGTATTGTTAGCTAGGTCACTTTGAGTAAAAATGTGAGTTTAATGTTCAGTTGAAATGATTTTGAATTTTTTGGTATTTGGTTACGAGTTTTGATTTAGAGTTTTATTAAAGTCTTATGTTTTAATGTTATTACGAAAAATATTTATTTATTTATCGCGTGTTTACTTATTATTAGCAGTAATTAAATTTGATATGAAATGAAAATATTAGATAACTGTAGATAACAACAGCTATGAATACATTAGCTATGAATTTATGTAAACAATTAATTCCGNTTTGATTTAGAGTTTTATTAAAGTCTTATGTTTTAATGTTATTACGAAAAATATTTATTTATTTATCGCGTGTTTACTTATTATTAGCAGTAATTAAATTTGATATGAAATGAAAATATTAGATAACTGTAGATAACAACAGCTATGAATACATTAGCTATGAATTTATGTAAACAATTAATTCCGTTTGACATTAATATGAAAATTCACGCCAACATATGTGAGATAATATTTTAAATTAATATAAGTACATGAAGTCAATGAATATTATTTTTCAACAAATATTATTTTTAAAATGAGCGAAATTTATTTAAAATAAAATTTTTAGCAAAACAGTTATTTTTAAAATGAGTAAAATCATTGGCAAAGTATTTTATTATTATTTGTTTTAGCGATTATTTCTATTAATATTTTATCTGAATTTATTATTTATAGAAAATGTCGATATTTTTCACATACTAAATAATATATAATAGAAAGTTGTGTTTTAAACAAATTACAAACACTGGTTTTTATCACTACTAGAAATGTGTTTGATTAATGCTTTTTAGTGGTGCTGGTTTAATATTTCAATAGTCTGCACTTCTACCTAAATCTAAATTTAATGCCTTTTCTAAATTCATGAAATAACAGAATATTCTCCACACACACAGAATTCTGTATATATAATAGAGTAAGAATGAGTTGATATATAAAATATCAATAAATGCAAAATTATGGGCAAAAATCCAGTCACAAGACACGGTTATGTAAAAACACATCTGGCTAGTTTAAGATTTAGTTTTTTAGTATTTTATATTATATTTTAAAAATATTTTCCCATAATAATATTCCTATAAATGCTACAAATACAACATATAAATAGGGCACTTTACTAATTCAATATTTTACGCGGGTTCAAGTTAGGTTATGTCAAAATTAATATCATATTTACGAATGAACTTAGAATAATGTTTCATGTTAATATTAGCATACCAGTGCTTTCAGACCATGGCAAACAAATCTATGAATGAATACCATGTTTATGTATCGTCGGGCAAATAAAATAAATATAATATTGTGCGGTCACTGTTTGCCTAATATATTACATGTTATGTGGATTAAAGTCAATGCAAATGTCAAATACCGAGAAAAACGCAAAAATCTATTACAGTCTCGTATGGATTACGAAACCCTCTCATACTTATACATTAATACTAATATTGTATGTATTTATTAATGTATTCCCATAGAGTGAAGTGCTCTGAGTGTATGCGAGTGTATGTGTACTAAACAAATACATATAAATTCTTACGTAAATCCATAAGAATTATTCCGTAATATATTCTCAATGTTTTTGTTATTTTTATGGTGCACTCAATCAATCTTATGATATGAGAAGTTTGAGACAGTATTATAAGTTTTACACCCGTTAATATCCACCCACTATCCTATTGTGGACTGTCCTTGCTATTGTTACATTAGAGCATTTTGAGAAATAATAATCAATTTTTAAACAAAATGTGCCATAAAATGATAGTTATTTTCTTAAATAGCTTTGTTTTGTTAATATTGAGAATATTCTATACAATTCAATAGATGCTGAATATGTTACAGAATATTATTATATGTATTGTATTATACAAGTCTCTCTCTCTCTCTCTCTCTCTCTCTCGTTTATTACTGCAAATATTATTGTTAAACAAACTAAACAAATGAATATATTTTTATAAATATAAGTGTTTTTATATAAAAATAATAAAAGGCAAAACTATT